ATATTTTGGTCTTAAAAAGTAAAAGTCAGTAAGGACCCTTTTCCACGCCTTTAGGCGTACAGGCCATATGGGGCTAGATATATATTTATAGACCGATCGGCTCAAGATGAATTAATTGGTCAGCATCACACCGGCCGCCTTTACTTCCCGGGACTGCACCCGGTACCCACAAAAGGCTTGGTCGACTTGGGGCCAAGGATATTTTTGAAAAGATTCCGGCTCTGCCAGGGAGCGAACCCAAGATCTTCCGATCCGCGGTCACGGCGACTCCCTATGTCGACCCAGCCTTAAATAGGTACAAGGTAAAGTCCTGGGAAGTAAAGGCGGTCGGTTTGATGTTGCCCATATCACCCAATGGTATGTAAAATATGAGCCTAGTCTCATATTCCCGATGCGCAGTCTGTATTTGACTATTAAAAAAAAAATAATATAAATAACTAAAGTGATGGTTAAATACAGACTAAAACATGCTTAAAAGCCCTACTAGAAGGGAACGGTGAAGATAGGCGAGTAAGGGTTCGATAGCTATGCAAGTGGGAGGATAAAGACAAAAAATGGACCAACGTCAGTGTCGTATGGCAGTTTTGTCGCGCACCTTTACTAACGGAATATTTTCACAAATCCCTCAAGTGCTCTGAGACAGGAGTGTTTTGAATGGTGGCTCTCGTTCGTCTAGAGGCCTAACCCTCGGTTCAAACTTTCCATTCAACCTGTCTCTGGGGTGAGGTGACACGAGCTCTGACTCCACAGGGTTATTATGAACACTTGGGTACCTCTCGGCCAGACGTCCCCACCACTGATTGGCCCCCAGACTAGGATAATGTAAACCCAGTCGAACAAGTAATCAACAGTGAACTTGACAAGATAACACTATCTTTCTGAATAAGACAATGAATTTCAATAAAACGAAACTTTTCTACTAACCAGAAGACTGATGAACTATAATATTATTGTAATAATTCCACATGACAAAGTTGACGAAAAGCAGCATGAAGAATTCAAAAAGAATGTTCAAAACTTTGAAAATCTAACACAAGAGAAAGAGTTTTTCTACATAGACACATCAACTTTCTGGATCATCATGGCGGAGGTGGAGAACTGATTACTAAGGCCCATTTGGAGTCGAGCCATCTTATGACAGTCACTTCGACTTATCTGATTGGATCTCGCAGCTCCTCAGGATGCCAGAATGGAGTTTCACACCGCCTTACTTTACTGCACGACTTCACAGGAACGAAGCAGCTTCTCCAGATGCCTAAATTGAGTTTCACACTGCCGTGCTTCACAACACGACTTCACAAGAACGAAGCAGCTTCTGGCGTTGATCAAGGACAATCAACCCGAGATCGGAAGATATCGACTCAAGTAACGTCCACACATTCAGCACAGCAATTCACCACACGTCAATTGCTTATTGGGTGGTGGCAGATGGAACCACTCTACCAGACACGGACACTTGTTGGATCTTCAGAAATCCCATGATAAATGAAAAGAGAATGAAGAATCTTGTCTTTTTAACGGTCAATTGGCGACTCACAAGGAAAGCGACTGCCTCAAAGACCGGACCATAGAGAAGTGACGCACAAAAACACGTTCCCCAACTACAGCAGTTAGCGTACGAATCCCGCTCACGAATGCAGTGCAGTGGTCAGACAATTTATTTAGAATAACGTTTAATTCGACACTAAAAGCCTAAAAGAGTCAATATCATAGTGATTTATAGGGATTTTTCCTATCAGTACTCCCCCACAACAAACGAACTATATAACCATGGTTGGCCCATACTAAATCATAGTTACGATGACGATTTTGGGGGTGTTCAGCCTGTGGACCTTCCTACTGCGGCAGATGTGTGGATTCTGTCATGCGACAGTCAGCCAACCTTTACTGTGAAGAACTCACCGGACTGACTGACTTAACAATTGGAACACTTTCTATATGCCAGGTATTATATGTAGACAAAGCTGAAGCACAATCAACAGGCCTACATTTTAAAATATGAACGCAGAAGGCAAAAGCATCATTATAGCTACAGGGAATTTGTGAAAGTAAAGTTAAATATTATAAATTAAAGTCACAAATGAAATAGTTTGACCAAATGGTGAGAATGGTTTGCGCTTCTTTTCCCTTCATATATATTTATATATATATATACACACATACACACACACACACATATACTAGCTGTACCGGCCACGCGTTGTCCTGCTTATTTAGGCTTAATGGAAAAGAAAGAAAATAGAAAAAGCACGTGTGTATTAATAATACTATTATGGTTAATGTCGCCACCATTATCTGCTCAAATAAAGAGATAGTCTGTTTTGACGACTCTAGAACACGCAACATATAAAATTGTATTTATATTAGTGGTTGTGTACATTGTATTATTAGGACAAAAAAAAAAGGGTTATTTCTCTGTCACACGCTAAAGCGGTTTGTATTTTTTTTAAAGCTGAAAAAAAAATGTCATCATCATCACCAGGTGCCTTGCCGACTGGCGTTGGCGATCATGCCTCTCCATAATCTGCGATCTCCTGCAGCATGTATCAGTTCGTGTGCCGACACACCTCTATGCGATGCAACAAGACTGTCAAGCATCTTCTCTCGTTGTCTTCCTCTATCTCTCCTTCCATATATCATTCCAGTGGTCACAACATGTTCTATTTTCCCTCTTCTTATAACATGGCGGAAAAATGATGACTGTCTCCTTCTGATGTCTGTGATAAGTTGTCTTCGGGCTCCCGCCTCTTTCAAAACCTCTTGGTTGCTCTTTTTGGCTGTCCAAGGTATTCTAAGCATTCTTCTGTAAAACCACATCTCCGAGGCCTCCAGAAATTGTTTGGCCTGCCTACCGATTGTCCAGGATTCACAGCCATATGTTAAAACTGGATGTACATAGCAAGCAAGAATTCTTTTTTCTAATTCTCAATGACAAGGATATATTGCACAAGATGTTTTTGATTTTATAAAATGCAGTTTTTGCCTGTCCTATTATGTTTCTTATCTCAGTTATGCATCTTCCATCTGATGTTATCCATGTGCCCAGATACTTAAAATTTCTGTACTTGTCCTAAAATAACACCATCTACTTTTATTACACACTTAGGAATAATTCGTTTCTTTGATACCACCATTACTTCTGTCTTCCCATTATTCAAACTGAGGCCCATTCTTCCTCTTTCTAACACCACGATGTCTATCATTTCTTGTAGTTCTTTCTGACTTGTTGCTATCAAGACTGTGTCATCAGCATAACGTAAATTGTTTATATTGTGCCCACCAACCACAATTCCGGGCATACCAATTAAAGCTCTCATTATATATTCACTGTATATTGAAAACAAATCAGGTGATAGTACACATACTTGCGTACGCCCCTCTTTATGCTTTGAAATGTCTTTGAAATTACTACTGTACTTCTAGATAACCAGCTAATTCGAAATTTAAAAAATAATCAATATAAATAGAAATTAGAATAGCCAAGGTAATGTTAGTAAAATATAAAAAAGTAAGAAATGAAAACTTTAAAGTCATGTTTCAAGCTCTCCCACTTAACAGTTTCTGTCATCAACCCTCTCCCCTCCTATTACCTGCCCCACCCAAATCCATTTTTTTTCTCCCTCTCCGAAGGATTTGAAATGTATCCCCTGATGAATTTTTTTATTATATATGTGTGTATATATGTGTGTGTGTATGTGCGTGTGTGTAAAACCATTGCTCTCTCTGTTTCTCCCTGGGTAACCAGTTCTCTCTGTCTTTATCTCTTTGGGTAACTAGTTCTCTCTGTCTTTGTCTCTCTGGGTAACCAGTTCTCGCTGTCTTTGTCTCTCTGGGTAACCAGTTCTCTCTGTCTTTATTCCTTTGGGTAACCAGTTCTCTCTGTCTTTTTCTCTTTGGGTAACCAGTTCTCTCTGTCTTTATCTCTTTGGGTAACCAGTTCTCTCTGTTTTTGTCTCTCTGGGTAACCAGTTCCCTCTCTGTCTTTATCTCTCTGGGTAACCAGTTCTCTCTGTCTTTATCCCTTTGGGTAACCAGTTCTTTCTGTCTTTATCTCTCTGGGTAACCAGTTCTCTCTGTCTTTATCCCTTTGGGTAACCAGTTCTCTCTGTCCTTTTCTCTTTGGGTAACCAGTTCTCTCTGTCTTTATCTCTCTGGGTAACCAGTTCTCTCTGTCTTTGTCTCTCTGGGTAACCAGTTCTCTCTGTCTTTATCTCTCTGGGTAACCAGTTCTCGCTGTCTTTATCCCTTTGGGTAACCAGTTCTCTCTGTCTTTATATCTTTGGGTAACCAGTTCTCTCTGTCTTTATCTCTCTGGGTAACCAGTTCTCTCTGTCTTTATCGCTTTGGGTAACCAGTTCTCTCTGTCTTTATCGCTTTGGGTAACCAGTTCTCTCTGTCTTTATCTCTTTGGGTAACATGTGTAAACGAGGGATTAGGATTGGATCCGGCAAGGAGAGATGAGAGGATCAGAACGGCGTATTTAAAGTCAGTGTACCACGGGAACAGTTAGCATTTACACCTAAGAATATTTTCTGCGGGAGACGGAGCACCTACGGGCATGCCCGGTGTGCTATGATATCGATTCTTAAATGTGTAATCGGTATTCAAAGTCAGTGTTGCATGGAGAAACCGTGGCCCTAACAACATCACGTGATTTAGTCACATGATCACCAGCAGTCTCAACAACTTGAGACATTTCCGCATATAAGAAGAGGTTCAGATTGAACTAAGCAACAAGTTTCTCCTTTCTGACCGTCTCCACATCGACTCTGCGACAATGTTTGCTTCAGATTTTGTTATTTTTGCATCTTTCGGTGTGTTATGCACACTAGCGTTAAGTGTCAGGGATGGAGAGAATGTTAAGAGAATGCAGGTTTTAAAATACAATAGTAAGACAAACCGTAACAACATTAACATTAAACAAGTGGTGGAGTCTCAGTCTGCAGTGAACGACAGCCAGCTCTACAGCCACAAAAATGTCCCGCTGCTTCAGTTTATGCGCGATAATTTCAAGGCTCTGGTACGTATGTTTATAATATATAATAAAGATGTCAGTTTTATGGCTAAACTACAAATATTGTCTTATATTTTTTACATCTCTACTCTTAGTTCCTAATCACTGAAGTCAGTCTGCTTGGGAAATGGTAATATCAAAGGCATTTGGAATCAGTCTTGTGTAGAAGTCCTTGGTAAAAGAGAATGGAAAAATAAGGCGTGGGTGGTGCCTGAAACCCTTACAATTACTGAAGAAAAGTCAAGTAGAAAGGCAGACTGATCAGCAGCAAAACTAGAACTACTAAAGCTAGAGCTCATGAAAAATACACAGAAGCTAAACAAGGAAGTTAAAAGGTGAATAAGAGAATTTAAAAGAAAACATATAATTCATGACCTAGCACAAGAAATCAAGACAGCAGTAACAAAATGAAACGCTACTCCTGTCAAATCCGGACGAAGAATAAAAAGCCTTGGACGACTTAGAGTTCTCTCCCTTGGCCGCACTGCAAACAGTGATCGGAAAAGCCAACGAAACAAACGACACATGCAACATGGCAGTTAGACGCACTCACATAACTAACATCGTTCTTCCGACGCACGACTTAGTTGCCGGGAACGACTATCGTGACTGACGCTTGGCGAGGCTACAGAAACGTGGCACACTTACGGCATGGCATCTATCTGCACGAGGTAGTAGTCCACCAGACCAACTTCGTCGACGCTGTACAGTCACATACACACACAAACAATTGAGGGCCTCTGGATGCTGGTCAAACGCACAATTCGCCAACGATTGGGCACCAGCCGCACACTATTGGCGTCATATTTAGCAGAATTTCAGTGGCGCCACGCCCACAAACATCAGATTGTCGGCCAGTATTTCGAAACCCTACGTCAAAATTTTCACATCTAACCCTAACCCTAACCCTAACCCTACCCCTAACCCTAACCCTACCCCTAACCCTAACCCTACCCCTAACTCTAACCCAACAACCGCATGACTACACAACCATTCACGATGCCTCACGCACCCGTACGCAACCCTGCACGCAACCATATGATGACCACGCATCCCTTCACGATGCCTCACGCAACCGTACGCAGCCCTACAGGCAACCGTATGATGATAGGTAAGTGTGTCGTTTGTTTCGTTGGCTTTTCCGATCACTGTTTGCAGTGCGGCCAAGGGAGAGAACTCTAAGTCGTCCAAGGCTTTTTATTCTTCGTCCGGATTTGACAGGAGAGCCAATGAAACCTTAGAGACTTCTAAAGCACCAAAAAAAGTTAGTCGGTTAGTATAATCAACCAACGGTCTTTTTTCATTTTAATTCACCCTATCTCAGCAAATCCAAGAGTTCCCAGGAAAAGTCCAATATTATAGGGGTGTGAAATGAGCACTAAATAACTCTAAACCCAATCCCAACCCCCCTATAATAGGAAAGGAAAGGTATACACCAACACTAAAACATCAGACTGACAGATTGGCTGAATATGTTGAAGTACTTCTGAATAGACCAGCCCCAGAGGTTCCTCGTGATATCTAGCCTTTAGAAATGGAACTGTAAATCAACTGTGGGATACCATCCAAAGAGGAAATTAGGAAAGCAATTAATCTACTGAAGGCAGGTAAGGCTGCAGGTCCATATGGTATTCCAGCAGAAGTTATTAAGGCCAGTATAAACACATCTACAGAATTGCTAAGCAAATTATTCAATAAAGTCAGGGAGACTGAAAAAAATAAAAGCAGATTGGAGAGGATATCTTTTAAAACTACCTAGAAAAGTGGCGCTTCTTTGATATATTCCCCAAAATGGCGGCATGCCACATTCTGGCTATAAAATATCAAAAAATATCCGAACGACGGTGTTTGCGTATATCTAAAATACAGACTTTCTGCCAACGAACAAATCGTGGCAAAACTAGGATTACTTGACAACCAATATCAACATTTGCACACGGTACTAGTAGCAGACGATTTCGAGCGTTTCTGCAGACGACGATACTAGCAGACGATATTAGCGACCGTTGACCAATTTCGAGACATTACAGACGATGAAAGCCGATTAGCAATACTGTGTTCTTCCGATTGGAGCGGTAGATGTCAGACTTGTCGGCATGCGCCAAACGCGATTAAACTCATCGCCGAGCGTATCTAGGTGCCTGGGACTCACGAGTACAGTAATTGGAGGAAGTTGCAGGAGATGCGGTAGCTGCCACTCGTGAGTCCCAGCCATCTAGTTTAGCCCCCATCCGCGCCGCGCGTAGCGGCGGGGGGGATACGCTCGGCGGTGAGGCACACTCGCAGAAGCAGGTCGGCAAGCAACGTATCGCCCAGACCCTGTCAGAGCATTTGTTTCGTTATTCGGAGCCGGCATATATTTTTAATAGAACTGACCCCGCATTCTGATATTTTTGGATATTTTATGGCCAGAAATTGGCCAATTTAGCTCTTTTTTGAACGCCATCATATTACAGCCGCCATTTTGGGGAACGATTCAAAGAAGCGCCGAAAAGTGACCTGCAGGAGTATGTAAACTATAGAAGAATTATGTTGCTGTCAGTTCCTGGAAAAAGAAAAAAAAATATTAAGTAGGATTATTTTAGAAAGACCAAAAGATGCCATTGATAAATAGTAAAGGGATGAACAAGCCGGTTTTCAGCCAAACAGATCCTGTGTTGACCAGGTAGCCACATTCATCGTCAGGTGCCTTGTTGACTGGCTTGAACTATCATACCTCTCCACAATCTGCGATCTCCTCATTTTGTTCCGAGGCCACCTTAATACCAGTATCATTCATGTCCCACTTGCACACATCTTTATATCGTAGTAGAGATTGGCCTTGACATCTTCTACCTGTCTTAAGTTCACCATAAAGGATGTCATTAGGAACTCTGCCATCCTCCATTCTCTAGGTGTTACCCAGCCACCTGAGCCTTCATAGACTAAGAAGAGTGAGGTTAAAAAGATGGGAAGGACCCTGGGCGAACTGCATGTGAAACTAAGGCACTGGACTTGTCAACAGCTCGGTGGCAAATTGTCTGAATTTCTCATTCAGCAATTTTAAAAATAAATCAGCCTGGGATTGAACTCGGCACCCCGGTATTACGAAGCGCATTCACAACACATCTTGTCTAACAGGAGTTTTTAATGCCACTCTCTTTCATGTTTGTCATCAAATTGTCCCTAGAGGATTATGTTAGAGAATGTGTCATGACATGTGACTTGCCCAGACCAGGCAAACTTTTGACATTATGCAATGACAGTATAATGTATAACAAGTTAAATGAATGCCTGCCTAGTACTGAGACAATCTGCATTCTTTGGTCATGTCATAAGAAGGAAAAAATGGAGTCCATCCTGATGTTGGGAAAATTGTATGGGGAAAGAGGAAGAGGGAGTCTGAGGGAGAAGTTGCTGGATGTTCTGACATTGTATGAAAGATCCTATGTGTTCGAATTAATTGAAAGTAGACAAATTGAGACAGAAGTTTTTGTATAGACCTGTCTACCAATGTCCCACAACATGGCCTATAGAAGACCATTGGTGTCAGAAATGATTGAAAGTATATGATTCGAGACAGAAGTTTTTGCATAGACATGACTACCAATGCCATACAGCATGCGCTATAAGAGGAAGGATTGAAGGAGTTAAAGAGCAGTCTGGATTGTTTATCCACGTAATCCATCCCTGTGATTTTATGGAGAAACCAGCATAGGCATCTTTGGCTAACCAACTGGATTTTAAAATTCATAGAATCCACATCTTTGATTCATTGTGTGATTGTTTGTTGTTGTTGTTGTTGACACTGTCAGCAAATAGACATTTCAAACATATTTTCAGTCGTGGAACACCAAAACACAGGTCAACTCGTTCATCTGGAAGAATTGTGGCAGTAGTTCCGATCTGCTTGTGGTCAATGCACTGAGTGTGACTCCTGATCCTGTCAGTCTGCCTGGAACTATTGGGCTGAAGTTTGATGTTACCATCCAGGAGACGTTCACAGCCCCCTTAAAGGTAAGCTTTCTTCTGTAGAGTATTACCATGTCCCATTTCCCATAATGATGGGATTACTTCTCTGGAATCTCAGTGTGCACACTATCATGGGTTTTTACCTTAAAAAAAAAGGTGCTAGTACTCTCCACAAATGTTTCAAAAAATGATATCAGTACTCACCACAGTGTGTCTATTACAGTAGTGCTGAAAATAATTGATGCCCTGAAAAAAGGTGCTAGTACTACGTACCACCAGAAAAAAACAACAAGCACTGCACATTACATTTATGTTTATGAGTGTATATGGATATATCTACATTCTTTGGTCTTGTCATGAGAAGGGAAAAACTGGAGTATATCGTGACAGTGGGAAGGTTGGAGAGGGAAAGAGACAAGAGAGAGAAGATGCATACATGCACACCACACACTATTTTGCACCTTAAAAAAATCTAAAGCTGTTATCATGTCTCTTGTATGTTACATAATTTCCTCCTAATTACCCGCATCCCACATATTTTTGCTCTGGGATTGTTCCCTGCAGGTTTGACATCACAGTGACTTGATGAGGTATGGTTCAGATGTCAAACCAACAGCAACAAATCTGAGATACCAAGTTTAACTTTATGAAATGATTATATTGGTGTACCCTTTTTTGTTTTTGAATTTCCCCACTGACGGTTTGCTGCCTGAAGTATTGACAGCAAGGGATCACTGTTTAGAGGGGAACTGAATGGGGCTAATTCTAGAAACTCTGTTTTAGGCACAAAAGCCAATTATATTGGAATACGCTAAGCTCACCAAGTAACCTCTTGTTTAAAGTGAGAAGGTGAGCACTATAAGAAACATTGTTTGTTAATTATCAGAGCACATTGTTAGTCACTGATGGATTTGTTGCACACTATCTGTGTAAGAAGCATATTCTATACAATATTTTATTGTCAATTGAGATAAGAGAATTGTCAACAGCTGTACAAATCTATCATGATGCACAGAAGAGAACCATGGATGATTAGTGAAAAATTTCCCTCGAAGTCAGAGTACATCTGCCCTTGAGGCAGGGAACGGCAAAAGCCAGTAAAACGGTTGTACACGCAAAACTTAGGTCCAGGTAAAAGCCAAAAGTTCAAACAGACAGTTAACCGGGACCTTCCGCCGGAATTCACAGCCGGTGAACGAAGAAGAAGTAGAAGAAGTGAAACATTATTTGAATGCTGTGATGTGGTTTTTGTAGATGAATGATGAGAATACACTGGACAAATAAAAAGAGTAATGATGTCCTGAAAGTAACTGACTCACGAAGAGGACTGATTGCCCACATCAGAAGCCAAACTCTTGGGTTATTGGAATCGGCAAACCCTAAACTGTTGCCATTAATTGATCAACCATCAATCAGTCAGTCAGGTGCCATCTTCACAGTGAAGGTTGTCTTCAGTGGATCTTCAACATCCTTTGTCTGTTGTCTTGGTGGTGTTACACTCAGACTGCTGTTTGTCCATCTTTTGATGTTATCCTCATTTTATCATTGTCTACCTCTTGCTGTCTTGCCTTCAACCTTTCCCTCCAGTATAGTTTAAAAAAAAGTAATGTTTGTTATTGTGGCAAACATTTTTCTTTTTTTTTTTTCTTTAATTTAAAAAAAAAAATTCCTTCATTAGTTCTCTGTTCATTCAGAGTCTTTACAGAGCCTATGTATTTGTTATGTCCATGAAATACAACCTTTCTTTTGTGATTTTCTGCAAGGACTTTACTGCTGCCAGTAATAGATACCAAATAATATACCCAAGAGATGATATTAAGAATAAAAAAGGTAAAGGTAAAGTTGGGAGATGTGAACCAGCGTCTTGCACACGGTTATAAACCATAAGTGCTCTGCCACCCGTACGGACAGCTGATAAGAATTGTCCGCCTGTGTCGCCGTTCGCACGAACTCTGTAGCTACAGCAAAGTTCCTCCATTTACCCCAGAGTGTCAACTCTGGTACCCATTTCCTAGAGGCTGGGTAAACCCCGGGAGCCACCCAGTTTCGAGCACAGGCGGTGGGCTGCAGCGTGTTGCAGCTGGATTTGGAAGCGAGCCTCTTATCGACTGAGCTAACGCGGCCCCTAATAAAGTGTTCTGTATTTATTTTTATTGGTTTCACATGATTTTTAAAAGGTTGTATTCTCTGCATTGCCAGCTTGCTGTTGTGTTGAAAAAGTATGAAGAATTCTTCTGGCTTACCATACCTTGCATTGATGACATGGGTTCATGCACATATGATGATATCTGCCCAAAACTGGCCAAGATCACTTGTCCTAAACAGTTTGGGACTACAATTCCATGCAAATGTCCTTTTACCAAGGTAGGATATTTTGCTTTTCTATGTGTGTCCTTTTACCAAGGTATGGTGTTTATTCTTACATGTAAGTGTTCTTTTACCAAGACAGGATGTTTTATTCTTACCTGTAAGTGTTCTTTTACCAAGACAGGATGTTTTATTCTTACATGTAAGTGTTCTTTTACCAAGATAGGATGATTTATTCTTACATGTGTTCTTTTACCAAGATAGGATGTTTTATTCTTACATGTAAGTGTTCTTTTACCAAGATAGGATGTTTTATTCTTACATGTAAGTGTTCTTTTACCAAGATAGGATGTTTTATTCTTACATGTAAGTGTTCTTTTACCAAGATAGGATGTTTTATTCTTACATGTAAGTGTTCTTTTACCAAGACAGGATGTTTTATTCTTACATGTAAGTGTTCTTTTACCAAGATAGGATGTTTTATTCTTACCTGTAAGTGTTCTTTTACCAAGACAGGATGTTTTATTCTTACATGTAAGTGTTCTTTTACCAAGATAGGATGATTTATTCTTACATGTGTTCTTTTACCAAGATAGGATGTTTTATTCTTACTTGTAAGTGTTCTTTTACTAAGACAGGATGTTTTATTCTTACATGTTAGTGTTTTTTTACTAATTTAGGATGTTTTATTCTTTCATGCAAGTGTACTTTTACGAAGATAGGATGTTTTATTCTTACATGTAAGTGTTCTTTTACCAAGGGTTTTGTTATTTCATTTAAACATCTTTTTACCATGGTATCATGTTTTATTCATGACAGTAATTAACATCTTGTATATTCACATTCTGTTTCTTTTTTTTTTTAGTCATGATTTAAAATTACAGCAGATAAATTTCATGTTGAATTGAGAATCAACATCTTAACACTCAGGACACTCTTATATGCGCTCCGTCTCCATCTTCAGCAGCAAGCGAAGAGTTCCAATTCCAATGGCACTAGTAACTGTCTGATTATATATCCGCCTCGCCGTTCCGCTGAGTATCTGCCAGATGCCCTGGTAACTCCTTGTAGAGCCATTCTCCTCAAATTAATGATCTATCTGTGCCTCCATACTGTTCACTCGCTCCCAAAGGGCATTCACACTATCTAGCTTGTCATATATCAATTCACCACCAAGTGGTGCAGAGCCGGCCAATCTATCTGCCTGCTCATTTCCAAACGCACTGGCATGACCAGGTGACAATATTTAAAGGATGTTAACTACCCGAGATCTCTGAAGTGATGCTTGCCACTCTGCACGGAGCATGCCTGTGTCCACCTTTCTCAACATAATCTGTGAGGCAGTTACAGTAGATAAATTTAATTAATTATCATAAATGTTGCTGGTTAATATTTATTACTTTATAATTAAATGATGGATTTATTGACTTATTAATTTACTGACTTACTGATTAAAAAAATGACTTACTGGATCATTAATTGATGGGCAGATGGGTTAACTAAAGATTTAGTGACTCTTTGAATGACTGATTCCCTTATTAAATAATTAATTGACTGAGACAGGGTTTCATAATTTGTTAGTCTCAATCTGAAAAGATATCAGGTAAACTGTGCATGGATTTTATTCTGCAAAAATAATCGCCCACAACCAGACATATTTACCTGATATTCCTCTCCTTATTAGCATTCAAGAAGATAAGGAAAAAAAGGTGTGCGCATCTGTTTTACAGATCTGGCTGATTTTTCATGCAGAATGTTCATTTCCTGCCTCTCAGGCAGAAGCATTCCGACTTCGAAGGAAACATTCCTAATTATTTAACATTCACGACATGTTTGTTGGGGGCCATGAGTCTGTTATCCACCCCTTTCCCCCTCCAGTGGGGATGGTATTTCTCAACACATGCCAGATACTTGTCTCTGGCCGGGCAGCAGAACAAACCATATGTGGGGAAAAAGTATGGCTGCTGTCACTGCAACTGATCAGACAACAATGACTCAATGACATGCGGTGTTATAGAACTATGAAGATAATGATTAGACAATATATTCTGCACATGTTTGTGACACAGGGTAGATATGTTTGTGACACAGGGTAGATATGTTTGTGACACAGGGTAGATACGTTTGTGACACAGGGTAGATAATTTGTGACACAGGGTAGATACAGTTTGCCGTCATGTTTGTGATACAGGGTAGATACAGTTTGCCATCATGTTTGTGATACAGGGTAGATACAGTTTGCCATCATGTTTGTGATACAGGGTAGATACAATTTGCCATCATGTTTGTGATACAGGGTAGATACAATTTGCCATCATGTTTGTGATACAGGGTAGATACAATTTGCCATCATGTTTGTGATACAGGGTAGATACAATTTGCCATCATGTTTGTGATACAGGGTAGATACAGTTTGCCATCATGTTTGTGATACAGGGTAGATACAATTTGCCATCATGTTTGTGATACAGGGTAGATACAGTTTGCCATCATGTTTGTGATACAGGGTAGACACAATTTGCCATCATGTTTGTGATACAGGGTAGATACAGTTTGCCATCATGTTTGTGATACAGGGTAGATACAGTTTGCCATCATGTTTGTGATACAGGGTAGATACAGTTTGCCATCATGTTTGTGATACAGGGTAGATACAGTTTGCCATCATGTTTGTGATACAGGGTAGATACAGTTTGCCATCATGTTTGTTATACAGGGTAGATACAATTTGCCCTCATGTTTGTGATACAGGGTAGATACAGTTTGCCATCATGTTTGTGATACAGGGTAGATAGTTTGCCATCATGTTTGTGATACAGGGTAGATATAGTTTGCCATCATGTTTGTGATACAGGGTAGATACAATTTGCTATCATGTTTGTGATACAGGGTAGATATAGTTTGCTATCATGTTTGTGATACAGGGTAGATATAGTTTGCTATCATGTTTGTGATACAGGGTAGATACAGTTTGCTATCATGTTTGTGATACAGGGTAGATATAGTTTGCTATCATGTTTGTGATACAGGGTAGATACAGTTTGCTATCATGTTTGTGACACAGGGTAGATACAATTTGCTATCATGTTTGTGATACAGGGTAGATATAGTTTGCTATCATGTTTGTGATACAGGGTAGATACAGTTTGCCATCATGTTTGTGATACAGGGTAGATACAGTTTGCTATCATGTTTGTGATACAGGGTAGATATAGTTTGCTATCATGTTTGTGATACAGGGTAGATATAGTTTGCTATCATGTTTGTGATACAGGGTAGATACAGTTTGCCATCATGTTTGTGATACAGGGTAGATACAGTTTGCCATCATGTTTGTGATACAGGGTAGATACAGTTTGCTATCATGTTTGTGATACAGGGTAGATACAGTTTGCTATCATGTTTGTGATACAGGGTAGATACAGTTTGCCGTCAAGTTCCTTCACTGTGCCGGTGCATGTTCCTGCTGGAAAATACTTAGTACAGGCCAGATTGTCGTACGGATCAAAAGCTGTCAACTGTATTGAAATCACTTCAACATTGCTTAGATGGTAACTTGGACACATGTTTGTCTGTCTGTCTTTGTAATTGTTCATCTTCCTGTCCTAAAGGCTTCTATAGTCGTAAATCATGTCAACATGCATGTAGAATACTGTTTGGTGGCCATATTGTTTTCAAACAAACACTTAGTAACTCCGTAAACCTCGCAAATATGCAAATATACTATATTTTTGGCTTTTAAACCACGTTTTCAAATGGGCTCGCTTGATATCAGACACAAAGAACTCAAAAGGAAGTTGAAATTGAGCGGTCCACTTTTTATTACCAGTTAGCGGTAAATTAAAAACCTTTACTTTTCACGCCTTGATTGGGCTCCCGAGTTGTAACCAATTAGCGTGTGATTCTTTCTGTGGAGTTAAAATGATGCTTTTCCACCAGATGAAGTAAGACATTATGCAGAGAAAATTGTGTGAAGACTGAATCATTAAAGTACTTCTTTTCACCCAGGACAGTTTCCAGAATTGTTGTCTGAAGTTTTCAAACTATCTTCATATTGATTGGGGAGAGAGAGCAAAAAAAAAATAGAGAGGACATGAAGGAAGCTGCAAAGAAGGGTGAAAGATAAGGCAGCTTGGAATGGGTTGGTTAATATTTTAAACTCTAATCAGGGATGAATAGTGAAAGAAGAGAGTTATTGCAGCTTGCACCATAGGATATTTGTTAATACAATGCAGACTTGATAAGATTAATTCACCGGGGACCCAAGAAATGGTTCTTCTTATCAGAAATGTTTCCTATCCAGAGAACAATTCAAGCAAGGAAGACCGTCGTAGGTAAACAAATTGTTCTTCACAACAGAAATTTGCCACATCCAATATTGCCTTAAGTCAGAGGTTCTCAACCTTCCTAATGCTGTGACATTTTAATACAGTCCCTTGTGTTGTGGCGACCCCAAGCCATACAGTTATTTTCTTTGCTATTTCATAACTTCAATCAGTATGTGTTTTCTGATGGTCTTAGGCGACTCCAAGCCATACAGTTATTTTCTTTGCTATTTCATAACTTCAACCAGTATGTGTTTTCTGATGGTCTTAGGCGACTCCAAGCCATACAGTTATTTTCTTTGCTATTTCATAACTTCAACCAGTATGTGTTTTCTGATGGTCTTAGGCGACCCCCCACCATGTAGTTATTTTCTTTGCTATTTCATAACTTCAACCAGTATGTGTTTTCTGATGGTCTTAGGCGACCCCAAGCCATAGTTATTTTCTTTGCTATTTCATAACTTCAATCAGTATGTGTTTTCTGATGGTCTTAGGCGACCCCAAGCCATACAGTTATTTTCTTTGCTATTTCATAACTTCAATCAGTATGTGTTTTCTGATGGTCTTAGGCGACCTCCAACCATATAGTTATTTTCTTTGCTATTTCATAACTTCAATCAGTATATGTTTTCTGATGGTCTTAGGCGACTCCAAGCCATACAGTTATTTTCTTTGCTATTTCATAACTTCAATCAGTATGTGTTTTCTGATGGTCTTAGGCGACCTCCAACCATACAGTTATTTTCTTTGCTATTTCATAACTTCAACCAGTATGTGTTTTCTGATGGTCTTAGGCGACTCCAAGCCATACAGTTATTTTCTTTGCTATTTCATAACTTCAATCAGTATGTGTTTTCTGATGGTCTTAGGCGACTCCAAGCCATACAGTTATTTTCTTTGCTATTTCATAACTTCAACCAGTATGTGTTTTCTGATGGTCTTAGGCGACTCCAAGCCATACAGTTATTTTCTTTGCTATTTCATAACTTCAATCAGTATGTGTTTTCTGATGGTCTTAGGCGACCCCAAGCCATACAGTTATTTTCTTTGCTATTTCATAACTTCAACCAGTATGTGTTTTCTGATGGTCTTAGGCGACTCCAAGCCATACAGTTATTTTCTTTGCTATTTCATAACTTCAACCAGTATGTGTTTTCTGATGGTCTTAGGCGACCCCAAGCCATACAGTTATTTTCTTTGCTATTTCATAACTTCAACCAGTATGTGTTTTCTGATGGTCTTAGGCGACCCCAAGCCATACAGTTATTTTCTTTGCTATTTCATAACTTCAACCAGTATGTGTTTTCTGATGGTCTTAGGCGACTCCAAGCCATACAGTTATTTTCTTTGCTATTTCATAACTTCAACCAGTATGTGTTTTCTGATGGTCTTAGGCGACCCCAAGCCATACAGTTATTTTCTTTGCTATTTCATAACTTCAACCAGTATGTGTTTTCTGATGGTCTTAGGCGACCCCAAGCCATACAGTTATTTTCTTTGCTATTTCATAACTTCAATCAGTATATGTTTTCTGATGGTCTTAGGCGACTCCAAGCCATACAGTTATTTTCTTTGCTATTTCATAACTTCAATCAGTATGTGTTTTCTGATGGTCTTAGGCGACCTCCAACCATACAGTTATTTTCTTTGCTATTTCATAACTTCAACCAGTATGTGTTTTCTGATGGTCTTAGGCGACTCCAAGCCATACAGTTATTTTCTTTGCTATTTCATAACTTCAATCAGTATGTGTTTTCTGATGGTCTTAGGCGACTCCAAGCCATACAGTTATTTTCTTTGCTATTTCATAACTTCAACCAGTATGTGTTTTCTGATGGTCTTAGGCGACTCCAAGCCATACAGTTATTTTCTTTGCTATTTCATAACTTCAACCAGTATGTGTTTTCTGATGGTCTTAGGCGACCCCAAGCCATACAGTTATTTTCTTTGCTATTTCATAACTTCAATCAGTATGTGTTTTCTGATGGTCTTAGGCGACCCCCCACCATGTAGTTATTTTCTTTGCTATTTCATAACTTCAACCAGTATGTGTTTTCTGATGGTCTTAGGCGACCCCAAGCCATAGTTATTTTCTTTGCTATTTCATAACTTCAATCAGTATGTGTTTTCTGATGGTCTTAGGCGACCCCAAGCCATACAGTTATTTTCTTTGCTATTTCATAACTTCAATCAGTATGTGTTTTCTGATGGTCTTAGGCGACCTCCAACCATATAGTTATTTTCTTTGCTATTTCATAACTTCAATCAGTATATGTTTTCTGATGGTCTTAGGCGACCCCAAGCCATACAGTTATTCTCTTTGCTATTTCATAACTTCAATCAGTATGTGTTTTCTGATGGTCTTAGGCGACCCTTGTGAAAGGGTCGTGATCCACAGGTTGAGAACCACTGCCTTGAGTGGTCTGCTACTGTAGTATAATACTTATCATTTGTTTCTTCTTCTTTAGCATTCCGAGCACTCAAGGTTCTATGCTACAGATATTACCTGCCTCCATTCATCTCACTGAGTGGTTTTCCTTTTTCCATTTTGTGTCCCATCTCATCTGAATTTGAGGCTTAGATCTCTGTTTCAGGATAAAATGAGGTTCTACAAGCTGGGGGGGGGGGGGGGGGGGGTGTTGACCCCATGCCTCCAGCTCCCCTGGATGACCAGAGTGTCTGTCTCCATCTGTTCTCTACCCTTTGATTTGTTCTGCTTGGGATGGCCCTGCTAAACCTTTGATAGTTCATGTCTTATCTGAACTAAACAACTATTCTGTTGCTGTATCTGTTTGAAAATGTCTGCTTTTAAATATATTGAGGTATTATTTATTTTTATATGTGTAATGTTACATTCTTATTTTAAAGTTCTAGTGTGTGTTGAGTTTTAAAAAAAAAAAGTAAAAAAATATTGTGTTTATTATCTTCCAAAGGCAATGACAGCAGCCATACTTTCCCCCCGAAGGATCTGCCGCATATCATGTTTTGTTCTGCTGCCCGGCCAGAGACAAGAACTAATCTAGTGCCTTATCTGTTGGGATTATTTTTTTTTTTTTTATTAAAGACAAATGCCTTAATATGTAGAAATTATTTTATACAGTTTTGTCAAAATTAATCGAAACATTTTCAGAAATATTTGGACTTATATTACATTTATTTATCTTATCATGCTACTTAGTAACACTTCCAAATTTCTCATGAAAGCTCATTTCCTGTGCATGAATCTGTTTCCTGATTATAATGAGATCTGACACAGACAAGTATTTCAATTATTTATAACAAAATTTGGCCAGGAATTATAAGTTTGAGAGTCATTCTTTATTTACAAGTTGAGCATTTTTTGCTTTGCACAAATCTTGTACAGATAATTTTTCGTCAGTTATCTCAGTTTATCTCTAGATGCAGAGATGTGGTTTGAAGTACGTGCAGAGATCTGGTCTGAAGTACGTGTGTTAAGTTTGAAACACTTCACCTCAGCATATTCACATCAGTATATATTCATTTTTGTCTTGACCAATTTTGATCACCTTTGTGGGATAATGTATCGAGCTAGTAGTACCATGTTTGTTTCTTTCAATCTCTCTCTCTCTCTCTCTCTCTGTGACACACTCTTTTCTTTTCTATATGTGTTAGTAACCACTCTGGCTGACTGCTTGTCTAGCTAACCACTCACACTCTCATGTTGAAACTCAAATATAACATGTTTTATTGACCTGTTATTTGAACCTTGTGCCTTCTTTGTTTATTCTTTTACTTTTTTGGAGAGTCATATTTTCTTTGATAATTCTCTGGTTCACTAAATTGTATGTTTGCACTAGCTTAATTATATATTTAATATTGGCATTAAAAAACTGCTGATAGAGAAGTCTGGTGATCTCTCTGGCAAACCTCTACACCCCAAGGTAGAAAAGGAGCAACTTATTAAGTTAGTAGATACTAGCATCTATTTGTACAAGCTTGAATTAATATATAAACCAGTGTTTCCAAAACTTTTATTAGTCGCGGCGCCTTTTTTCAATTAACATTTTTCCACAGCGCCCTAACCTAAGTAAAAGTATGACTGTTTGTTTGTAAGAGATCAAAACAAATAAAACTTGTTTATCTTCAATTATTTCATGGCGCCCTTGTGAAGAGGTCGCGACTCCTTGGGGTGCCCCGGCACACAGTTTGGGAATACTGATATAGACAATTTCTGATCTTATTATATATACCAGAGGTATTTTTTCGTTCATATACCAAATCAAATAACATTCCATATACAGAATGGAATTAATACAGTTAGGGGCCAGTTATTTTGTAATGATTGCAAATTCTGTTTATTGTGATCTTGATAAATGTTTAATTGTAATAAAATAATTGTGTTTATGTTTACTGTTTTTTCATTTTACAGGCAATTGTAAATCTGATTGTAAACTCCAAACTGACAGCATGGCTGTAACACATTCATTAAATAATCACATATATTCTTATATATTTTTAGGCAACAGAGGTAGAATTTTCATAACATTTTCTGCGACTATGTGGCTTAAATGTTAGTGAATACATTTCACAATCCTTGAAATACCAGGGCATGATTTGCACAGTGTAAAAAATGTCAGATAGGTACCACACAGTCTGTTATGGTAGCATTAACAAATATGGTCTGCAAACAAAAAAATGCAGTGGTACTGCATACTGTTACATACCGCTAGACAAATGCTGTGGACGGTTTAGAAAAGGACCATTCTCACAGATTTTGGTCAGTATTACCAGAATCATACAATGGGAGATCTTTGGATCTAACAAGGAAATAATCTTGAAAGACAACGGGTGCACATATTTACTGAAGTCACTCTTCACTGGCCACAGCAGCTAATTTAATTTATGATCCTTGGGCCTACATTTAAACTATTCTTATCAGTTTCCATCTGCAAAGGTATTTTTAACCTACTCAGGATCCCCTAGTTTTTCAGACTTATCCGTTTGGGTAAGTGTCTAGTCCATTACCAGAGGATTGGAGGACAGTATGGGTTCAAAATTTGTTTAAAGAATAAAAATAAATGCCTGCTGTAATCTTTTGTGCAGTCTTTCCAAAGTAAAGATGAGCACCATTTAATGCTCACACACTAGGGTGGACATTTGTGACTGAGTTGTTACACCATTTCCCTAGTGCTTTGAAAGTCATGGGTTTATTTCCAGTTTACATCGTTCGTTTCATGAATACAATTTTTATAGAGATTATGGGGACCATTACTGGAGCTACAGAGTTCACACTTTGTGTGAAACTTTTGACTGGCAGCGTGCTTTTCTGTAAAGAGATAAGAGTCATACAGGATCAAATCCGGAGCAACAAAGCCAGTCTTCTTGCCTGTAAATTTTAAAACTGTTGCATTCAGAAATGCCTGTGTGATGTGGAATGAGCTAAGGTTACTACACATATCAACAAACTGTATGCAAGCAAAAACTACCACATTACTAAGAAACCTATAACCAAAAGCAACAGCGAGCAAAGTCAGAATGTTGAGAGTATGCATCTTTTCTGTAGCAACATATGGATGCCAGTTGGAGACTGTCTCATTTCTTTTTCTGTTCTTTATCCTTAAAAAAAAAAGGACGGCAAATTTTTTTTTTTAAAGTTTATTTTTGTTTTCTAAAATGTAAGCACAATGTGCTATGATGTCGATTCTTAACTCAGTAATCATTTCTAAAGGAAGGGTAACTCTTTTTTCCAGTTATTTGTTCTATAAAGGAAGGGAAACTTTTCTTTGTAGTTAATTTTTGGTCTGTAAAGGAAGGCACCGAGGAAGATTATCGGTGGAACTGATCCAGAGGACAGGAGGCTGAGATCAATAGAGATACAGCAACGCCTTCGCCGGTCGACAGACCATGTGATGACAGTGATGACATTTATTTCTATAAAGGAAGGATAACTGTTTTTTTTTGTAGTTGATTTTTGTTCTGTAAAGGAAATGTCTCTTTTTCCCCAATTTTTTTTTTTTTTTTTTTTTTTAAATAAGTAGGATGACTTGCATTTTTTCAGCTAAGGATATACTTACAAGGAAGGGTAACTCATGTTTTCAAATGATTTTTGTACTGTAAAAGAAGGATAGCTTTATCCTGTTGGGAGTCTGTTGTACAACAGCCTTTGATTTGTAAGTGCCTTCATAACTTTGAGCATTCTGAATGTATAATAAAAACACACATGTTGACTACTAGCTAGCTTGTGTCCTTTCTTCTGTTTTAATTTTATCAGACTGAAGTCAGAGTTTGCACTAGAATGTAGTATCAAAGAAGTCAGAGATTGCCCTAGCATCTAGTGTTAAGGAAATATAAGATTGCACTAGAATGTAGTATCAAAAAAGTCAGAGATTGCACCAGAATGTAGTGTCAAAGAAGTAAGAGACTGCACTAGAATGTAGTGTCAAAGAAAATAAGATTGCACTAGAATGTAGTGTCAAAGAAAATAAGATTGCACTAGAATGTAGTGTCAAAGAAAATAAGATTGCACTAGAATGTAGTGTCAAAGAAGTAAGAGATTGCACTAGAATGTAGTATCAAAGAAGTCAGAGATTGCCCTAGCATCTAGTGTTAAGGAAATATAAGATTGCACTAGAATGTAGTATCAAAGAAGTCAGAGATTGCCCTAGCATCTAGTGTTAAGGAAATATAAGATTGCACTAGAATGTAGTATCAAAAAAGTCAGAGATTGCCCTAGCATCTAGTGTTAGGGAAATATAAGATTGCACTAGAATGTAGTATCAAAAAAGTCAGAGATTGCCCTAGCATCTAGTGTTAAGGAAATATAAGATTGCACTAGAATGTAGTATCAAAAAAGTCAGAGATTGCACCAGAATGTAGTGTCAAAGAAGTAAGAGACTGCACCAGAATGTAGTGTCAAAGAAGTAAGAGACTGCACTAGAATGTAGTGTCAAAGAAAATAAGATTGCACTAGAATGTAGTGTCAAAGAAAATAAGATTGCACTAGAATGTAGTGTTAAAGAAGTCAGAGATTGCACCAGAATGTAGTGTCAAAGAAAATAAGATTGCACTAGAATGTAGTGTCAAAGAAAATAAGATTGCACTAGAATGTAGTGTCAAAGAAGTAAGAGACTGCACTAGAATGTAGTGTTAAAGAAGTCAGAGATTGCACCAGAATGTAGTGTCAAAGAAAATAAGATTGCACTAGAATGTAGTGTCAAAGAAGTAAGAGACTGCACTAGAATGTAGTGTCAAAGAAAATAAGATTGCACTAGAATGTAGTGTCAAAGAAGTAAGGACTGCAAAATAACTAATGTAGTGTCAAAGAAAATAAGATTGCACTAGAATGTAGTGTCAAAGAAAATAAGATTGCACTAGAATGTAGTGTCAAAGAAAATAAGATTGCACTAGAATGTAGTGTCAAAGGAAATAAGATTGCACTAGAATGTAGTGTCAAAGAAGTAAGAGACTGCACCAGAATGTAGTGTCAAAGAAAATAAGATTGCACTAGAATGTAGTGTCAAAGAAGTAAGAGACTGCACTAGAATGTAGTGTCAAAGGAAATAAGATTGCACTAGAATGTAGTGTCAAAGAAAATAAGATTGCACTAGAATGTAGTGTCAAAGAAAATAAGATTGCACTAGAATGTAGTGTCAAAGGAAATAAGATTGCACTAGAATGTAGTGTCAAAGAAGTAAGAGACTGCACCAGAATGTAGTGTCAAAGAAAATAAGATTGCACTAGAATGTAGTGTCAAAGAAGTAAGAGACTGCACTAGAATGTAGTGTCAAAGAAAATAAGATTGCACTAGAATGTAGTGTCAAAGAAGTAAGAGACTGCACTAGAATGTAGTGTCAAAGAAAATAAGATTGCACTAGAATGTAGTGTCAAAGAAGTAAATGTTTGTCTTAGAATGTTTGATGAAAGATGTAGGAATTTGTTTTAAAATATAGGGGAAAGAAGTAAGAGCATTTCCTAGAATG